CGTCATTATGTTTTATGCCATTTCAAGTAAAAATAACTTGTTGCGCCCGGAAGCAGCCGCCAAATGACGAATTTCAAAGCTACTTGCCCCGGGGGTGAATTGGTTGCCCCTGGGCCATCGGCACGCGGGTTTGTCGAGCACGGACCGCAAAGGTTTCTGAATTTCGAACTGAAAATGTGCTGGAAGCAAGCGACCACCAAAAGTCATAATACCGCGTATATGCGGTCGTACGCAGTACACAATCAAGATCAACGTGGCAGAGGCAGAGAAGTAAAATAGTTCTAACTTCTAGTTGGGTAAGAAAATGTGGGCCCGACTTAAGGAAGAGTTTTTACTCTAGGCTTCTGAGGGTTATTCAGCTACTTTTAGTTATAATTAGCTACTAAAAAGTTTCATAGTTCCAATGCACCATTAGAAGTATTTATTTTAAATGGATTTAAAACTACGGAACCTACAGCTTTGATTGCAACTGACGGTGGCGCCACTCAAAGCGCGACGATCTGATAAGTTGCGGCAATAACCACTTCGAGCAGGACCAAGGGCTAGCGACCGAGGGTGTTTCTAATTCTTTCATATTAAAAGCAAAAAGATTGTAAGATCCTTATAAGACCGACATATAGTTTCAGTTATCAATATGGATAAATTTGCTCGCTAAAATGAAATATCGTTCGCATTTAAGATCAGCATTTAGGTAGTAAAATATAGATTGCACCTTTTGTGGATGTAGGCCCCTCGTCTCTGTAAACGGTGCGAAATCAAATGGTCAAATACGCAAACTTTTCGCGGTGTGACAGCAGCGGGTCCCGCTCAGCGGAGTTGTCAATGGCGCCCAGTTCTCAATATTTCGTAGCGTTGTGTGTAATCTAATTATAACATTCACAATTAGGCTATCTGGTATACAAATACTGTGGTGGGTATATGACAATTTTGTTATAGCCAGTAAGTACAGTGTATGCAGTAAAATCCTAGAGGCTACTGTCCCTTTAGCTATTTTTAGCGGCCATAACTTTAGATACCGTATGGCAACAAATAAGATAAAAGAGAGATTTTGGCCTATTGTCGCTGGCAAACAGCATAGAAACACATCCCATAAGAATCACACGACATAGACGGTGGCTACGAGCTATAGAGGGTTTCGCGGAATTTCAAATTACCCACAATGGCAACGTCGCCGCCCATAGACGGTTTCGCCAGAAACACCAGTTCAGGGCATGTACAAGTACATTGAGCAAGCGCACTTCTTGGCTCATTTAGTTTGCCTATTAAGGCAAATCATCAGCAATGCGCTGCTCACGCTGCGTGTTGTCCTGCAGCATCGGTATCCGAGATGAGCCACACAGCTTTTTTTAGGCTGCCTAGCGTGATCACAACACAAGGTAAGTGCCGAGAGACGCAGGCGCGACCAAGCTTGGAGCTTTCATCCAAATACATAAAAAGTATATGCTGAATAAACACGAAATGTAATTTACTTACCAATGTCTTAATCGTTTCTCTAGCTCTCTTTTGCGCTAGTATTGGCGATAATTGCCTGTAAATCGCGGTCAACCATGCTGCCTCTGCAAAAGACCGGTACACTGCACTGCCGCTACAGACATTTACACTATAAATATACATAGTATCGCCGGCATGCCAGTAGGCAGCCTGTGTTGAGTGGGGTGGTGATTTCTTTATGCACGTGCAGGCATACTCCTACATAGAAGAGTAGGTTATGCACTGAGAGCAACATGTGACAGAATTCAACCAAAAGCCGCGGACTTTACAATTACAGTGTGCTGAGCATGATGGCCCTGTCCCATATTCTCTCCAATCGTGACCATGCACAGGATAGAGAGAATGGTATAAAACATCAGAGACTGGGAGTGCATAACACGTGCCTCGGATAACGTAGATGGGAGCCCTCTCACTGTTTCATGCACGCATGATAGTGCAGACTGATACAACCGCAACTAACGGCCAGACCAACAGGAACAGTGCGATCGTAAGCATCCAGGCTTTTGTGGTTCTGAAAAGTCCTTGAGAGTAATAAAATGATCTCGGGTAGATATGTTAGGTAAGTCATTCACGAGATCGCAATAAGGTATGTGGTGGGCAACAAGATTGTGGTCCTCGCTCGCAGTTCTCGTGCGGATGTCGATTACCCCGCAATGCATGCAATTTTCTCGAAATAAGCATGCTTTGGTCGTTGTCCTATGAATTCAACCTACTCTGTCGCATAAACTGACGTACACGTCAGTCACACACGTCTGGCAGAATGCTGGCGCCGATACACCCCGGCAGATGTTATAAATAACGCTCGCGTGTTTGAAGTGAGCTATTATGCAGTAAAATCTGTGCACATTTCTGAAGCAACTTGCCCATGTAAAACAAACTCAAAGTCCATGCCAACATTTGTTGGCGTGCAATCAATTAGGAGACGGACTAAAACCTGAGCGATGCTAAGCCCCTGCAACAACGGACCTGGTGGTAATTCATTGAACTCTAAGCAGGAGCATCCCCAACCCATGCTGGATAAACACTGGAATCGGCAACACCGAGCTGCTACAGTGTAAAACCGGGTCTGCACAATCATATCGAATCTCTAGCACCGGCCCCCAAACGCCGGAGGGTGAAAAACTGCCTGTCTGCAAAAACGCGGCGATGCCACTTACTAGCTAATGATACGATTACTGACTAATAACACTATCGGACTAACTGTACAGAGTCTAGTCGGATGGTAGGAAGAATCGCTAGATTCACGCGCATATGCAGGTAACACGTGTGGTAGAATTCCTGGACATGAACAGCTATTGCCGGCGGCACCGGGAATGGGGGTAGGTAAATACTTGCTATTGTTTAGAGTGCGGAAGTGCGCGGAGAAGCGCGGCTCTATGGAGGAGGAAAACTGTGGACAGAGTTATTGCATAAGAATAATTCAATACCGCAATTTTTAGCGCACCATTGAAGACGTAGAAAGTAACATTTGGGCGCAGACATCCAGCAAATGGCCTAGTTTATTAGGTTAGGTTGTAGTTAGGATACTAAGGTTCAAGGATATATATAAGAGGGCTGTCCCGCCAATTTCAAATTTTCGCAATGTGCGAGCATTGTGGCAAGATGTGGGCAAATGTGGAGCAGCTCCTATATCAATTGGGGCCGGAATCTACACATGGCTACAGGGCGCGCGCCGGCTACAAGCCATGCGCCATAGTTTATTGCCGATCAATGTCATCAAGGAAAGTTTCTGGCTTACAGTTAACAGTGGTGTTGTATTTAGCTCATCTCGACATAGTCAGATGCAGCTTTGTAGAATGCCGCATGAATCGTCCATCACCGTCGTGCCGTTGCCGTGCCGATCAACTAAAGTTGGGCACAAAATCTTAACCGCCGTCGCATTGGTTAAACGGTGCACGATATTCGGGAGCGTGGGGGGTAATCGAAAAGCAGTTGGGATGTCGAAAGCTGGGGGTCAAAGGTCGAAAGGTGCAAGAGGTGTAAAAGAAGGGGGGAACGATTCACTCCTTAGATTAAGGTTATAACGGGAGGAAATCAGAATTGGCGGCACAAATCTTAAGACGGCTGCGACCAAGGCTCGTGATAGTTTGGTGTATAGCACATGGGGAGGAGAAAGCATCACTGTGGCCGCAAATTTGAGTCAGCAGGTCAAAGGTTCAATGGGCACGCGAGGGCAGATTTTAGAACATTTTGCTGAGGACATGGTCTGACGGAGCGATTGAATAAACTTTTTTGTTTCAGCGGTGACGCTAGCATTTTTTATGCATTATTGAAAGTAGCCTATGAAATCTACTTCTGCTGAGCATGGCGAAAGAGTAATGTGTCAGAATAACCTTTTGACCGCTCAAGAGGAGGGTTAAGACATAGATTTGTTGACTGTCTGTTAGATAAGAATTTGACTGCCGGGTTTGGCTAGTAGAATCTATGAGCAGCTGGATGTCATGAGGGCTACAATGTCACAGTGAAATTTTTCAAAAGCAAATTTGGTTAAAGAAGGTTTATGCTCCCTTAAATCGTAATAATTTTCTATGGCAATTCTGGTACTGTCAGTATGTTACATGTAACGTATGCCACTGCAGTGTGCTACTTGCCAGTGCATGTGTTGGTGTACTGTTGTAAGGTTTTGCCCTGCGTTAAATTGTTACAGGTGGCAGCTCTCTATTGGCAGCCTGGTAAGGCTTGCGTAGGAAAAATGGATGAGTGCTTAGCTGCTATTCTGTGCTTGCAAATAGTTGTTCTACTACGTATGATGGGAGCATTCGCAATCTTTAATCTGAAGACACTTTATGCCTAGGGGCACCACCGAGCGATTTTTATCGGCTCGGCAGATCGGCCGGCGATTAAAATGCACAGGAATTTAACGCACCGTCACGAAGGGGCGACACGTAGGCGATTTTTTATCGCCCGCCGTCACGAAGGGGCCAGCACGTGACGTAGCTGAATTTGAGAGCGTACTGCGTACCGCACACTCGAAGAACTTTAACATCACATGATATCAACAACACTCCGATTGTTTTAGAAAAATCGATTCGGGCGAGACAAAACGCCGGTCACGGGCACACGAGCGATAATAATGCGCCGCGGCGTAAATAATCGCCCCGGAGAAATATCTAACATTTTGTGATACGGGCGATTCGGTCGGACCGATAACAAATCGCGTCACCGTGAAGGGGCACACGAGACGCCGACGTGAAGGGGCATCACGACGATTTTTCAGCGCTTTTGAAATTCGCGCTGGACGGATCGGCGCGATAAAGAAATGCGCTACGATGGCT